ATCTTTACAGACTCTCAATCAGTTATATCTAAGTACCATAGTCTAATTCAGCAACCTACTAGTTTCCATTCTTCCAATACACCATACTGGTCTATATGGAATACACTCCTTAACTTTTCCAAATCCTATAATTTAAATATAACTTTTCATAAAGTTAAAGTACACCAAAACAATACACTCAATAACAAAGCTGATGAGCTGGCTCGCGACTACTTTCATCTACCACAATATCTACAACCCCTTGTATACTCCATCCCTTGAAGGCCACTCACTCTCTTGAACTTTCCATTCGGCGCAGCATTCGAACTATATACCATGCTAACACCTCTGCTCTCTGGTCATCCCAAAACCACTTTCAACCCTAGATATGGATTTCTCAGTATCTAAATTAGAACGCTACTTGGCTTTACCTAAACAACAATCAAAAAGTTTCTAACTTAGTTCATAGCTTTCAGTTCTCTACTCTCAAAACATTTAAAGTTAAACTTCTTACTGATGAACTCCCTGCACCTCATACTCTATATAAAAGAAACCCTCTCTACTCTAACACCTGTCACATATGTTAACAAACAAGTACTATGCTGCATTGGGCTATATACTCCTCTCCTAATTCACTATATATACTTATCCAAGATTCTTTACAACAAATTTTATCTGCACATAAACTTCAAATTTCTCTATCTGAAGCTAATCAACTACACAGCCAAATTATCAACCTTGACAGCCTTTTAATATATGACTCTCTTGACAAACCCTCTATTTTCTCTACACTTTCTGGTCTCATCCCTTATGATATTATATATACAATTAGTGAATTCACTACTTCTAACCAATTAGCTACCTCAATTTCTATACAACTTCTTCTTTATATCAACAAACAACTTTACTCAAATATCTGGATCCCTTATTGTAGTTCAAGACCTCAACCTCAACTCATACAACCTCAGTCAATACCTGCACCCAAATCCTTACACAACACACTTCTCATATCTGATACTTCTACTATTCTTCAAACATCTTCCTTAAAAGTATCATCTTGGTACTCTAACTAGATTAATTATCATATACACCCTTCACATATTTTCAATCTAGCTCAAATCTAGGTAAGCTTTGGCCACTCTGGTAGGTTTAGGCCGCAAATAAATATTTAGGTTACCTATTAGGTTTTCTAGATGTCTGAGTTTTTATTTTTAGCACTAGGCTTAAAATACAAAACCTTTTTCAATTATGTAAAAAGTTTTCATTAAGTTTAATAAAGATAAGAGCAAGGTCTCACCTTAAATATTAAAAAAAAAAAAAAAAAATGTTTATTAGTATCTAATAATAAATATAATTATTAGTATTTATATATTTTAAAATTACTAATAATTATTAAATTTTAAAATACCTAATAAATATGCTTGCTTTAGAATATCATTTGCATTATCTTTGCATATTGTTAATGCTCTAATCCTGCTATAAATATTTTCAATCCAATAATCATTAAAATTAACTAAAAAAGCTTAATTGCTTTTTTCATAGGATGATTATTTTGTTCCCAATAAAATATATCTAATAAAAATGCTAGTGGAGCTTTGTTGTAATTTTTACGTTTCTATCTTAAAGCAAAAGTCCAAATATGAAAAATTGTTTCAAGATATTCATCAAATGATCTGGATCGAAATAATACTACATATATATCAAGTACTGCTGGAATAATATTATCTAAAAGATCAATTAATGTTCTATATTCAGTAAATTTGCATAAAGGTCCAAATTTTTTTAATATTAAACTTCTAATTTTAATCCATGCACTATATGTTAATTTCAAAAGTAAATTTATTCTCCATGGTCTTGGATTTTTGGCAAATTTTTTATGTAATCCAAATATATTATGAAATAGTTTTTTAAAAAAGCTATAATAAACTTTCATAACTTGCTCTCTACTATTAAGGCTAACATGTAATGGTCCAAGAATAAGAACAAATGAAATTACTCCAGATAGAATTTGTACTTTTGAATCATCTTTATGCAAATGTGTAATAGCTCTTCTAATAAATAATTGTTCTGGCCAATCTGCAATTACTGGAGCAACATAATTATTTAAATGATTTGTTTTTTCATTATATTTAAGTATTATATTTAAAATTTCTAAATAATCTTGCATAGAATGAAGTGGTTGTTCCTTAATTCCAATTAATATTGTTTCTTTCATTTTTCTTTCTTCTTTTCTTTCTGCAATAGCATCATCATAACAATGTATAGTAAGTTGATCAATATGATCAAATTCAAAACTTTCAAATTGCTTTATATTAGCCCATTGTATTTTACATTGTGTATAAGAAAGATCAAAAAGCCCTTGATACATATTAATAAGTTGTTTACAAATAATTGATGCATCAATATTTACTGGATTATGAACTGATATATTATTAAAAGTTACTACTGGTACTGGTCCACATTGCTCGATTTTTTTGTACATACTTGTTGCTAAATGAGCTGCTCCTGATAAATTAGTATTATCTGGTCTTCTTTTTTCATAAATATTATGATAATCATCTATATTATATACACAAAGTGAATTTTTCTAATAATTAAATTAAAATAATATATTAAAATATTATTTAAAAATAATATATAAAAATTTTAGTTATATAGCTTTATTTTAAATATTTAAAAAAATTATATACATTTTTAATGAAATATTCTTCAACTTTTAATGGATGTTGTGTAGCAATTTTTTTCTTATTATTATAAACTGTTTTATTAGTAACAGAAATTCCAGCATTGCTTAAAGTATTAATTGTTTCACAAGATGCTTCACAAGCTGCAAGATATAATCCAAGCTCCAATTTAAATTGATTAGCATGCATATTACGAAGACTAGCAATTAAATAAAGAATTACTACAACTTTTTTTTTAGCATCTTTTTGTAAATTTAATGATATTATAATCTTACATATTTCATCAAAAAATTCAATCAAATCAGAATCAGATTCTTCAAGCATTTTCTTAAAACTATTAGGCTCAAGTATAAGAGTAGCTGATTCTTTTCGTTGTCTATTATATATTATAGTTGTCATTTTTTTTATTTTATCAGCAAGAGATAATTGCGGTAATGGATCTAAAAATAATTAAATTATAAATTATAAATTTTTTTTCTCTTTGTACCAATTTGCATATTATAAACAAAATTTTAAAGAACTGTTACTTATTATGTAATTATAACTCTTTTTCAAGTTAATTATTTAATAATTACAAGTTATAGAGTTGTATATCAAAATCCTGATACACAAAATTCCAATACACAAAATCCCGACAACAAAATCCTAATAAACAAAATCTTGACAAATTAAATTCTAAAGATATTAAAATTAGAATTTTAATTTGTTGAGATTTTGTATATTAGAATTTTGTTGTCGGGATTTTGTATATCAGGATTTTGTATATTGGGATTCTAATATACAACCTGTAATAAGTGATAGTTCTCTTATATAATTAAATAAAATTTAAATATTTACCAATAGAATTATTATTTTCAATAATATTATCTGAACTAATATTATTTTGATAGTTTTTTCTAAAATTATTTCAAGGATTTTCAACAATTTCCATATAATGAGCATTACAAATTTGTTGATTGATTTGCAAATATGAATATTGTTGAAGAGTTCTTATAGCTAATGCTTTTGCAAAAGCATTATCAGTTAAACTTCTAAATATTGTAGATTCTTTGTTACAATTGTAAATAGAACAAGGTCCTTGGTTAGTTTTTTGTTTAGGCATAGTAATAATAAAGATTTTGTAATAAAATTTTATAAAAAAGATTTAAATTTAATAAATTTAAAAAAATTTATTGATATAATTCAAAATAATCTTTATATATAATATAAGTAATTACAGTAAAAAAAAAATCAATATATTTTAAACCAAATTTATTATAATTATACATATTTTTGAAACTATATACTTAAATTAGAAAGATTAAAATTTTTAAAATTACAGTTTAAAACATCAATTAAAAACAAATAACTTTAATATACAGTAAATGCTTATTATAAAATACAGTATACTGTATGTATACCTGATACTATTAATCATATTATTTCAACAATTACTATACCAAATCAATAAAAATTTTTTTTATTCAAAATTCTACATATCTGTAGAATTTGAATAAAAAAATTTTTGATCGAATTTAGTATAGTAGTTGTTGAAATAATATATACAAATAAATACTAAAAACAAAAAATCTGTTATCGGCTCTTAATTATTTTTGTACTGAATATAATTTATTTAATTTGTTAAAAAATATCTGGTGCAGAATATAATTGAAGACCCGATAACAGATTTTTTTTTTTGGCAGAATTTAAACTATAAATTCATATGGGCGGATTGCACTCATTTTGTGATATCCAAATATGATTACGTTACAATAAGATTTATTTTAATTTAATCAATTTATAAGCTAAAATTAAATATTTTATTTTAATGTGGTCATTTTTAGATATCACAAAATGAGCGCAATCCGCCCATATGTTATTAAATTTCAAAGTTGGCTAAAGCTTTAAAAATTCAATCAAGCCAAGTTGCCAAGATATTTCATTTCATTAATACAATATATCATGATTTAATTGCTCATAGTAGTAATGAGCAAAAAGATTATAGTACTTAGGCAATTATTAATCGTGATCACATATATTGATATTTTGCTCTAACTATAGAGAGAATTTATAAGAACACTATTATTATTTAAATATTTAAATAATGATTGTTATTTAATATTTATTTATAAATAATCGTTACTTAATATTTTCATTGTTATCGTTATTTAATATTTATTCAAATAATTCTAATTACATAAACACAACAGTCTCGAATTAAACTCAGTTAGCAATAATGACTTATAAAACGTGATTATAATCGCATGATAGCATTGATATTGAATCATGCGATAGATAAATATCATAAAATTTGTTCTGCCAGAACAAATAGTTGCTGAAATGTGCTGCTGCACGGCACATGTTAGCCAACTATTTGCTCTGACAAACCAAATTCATGATATTAATTCATCGCTTGACCAATATCTTATAATTTTCACCAATTAAATACCATTCAGATCTTTTTTATAAATGGCAGTTTTCCGAATTCCCATAGAATTACCAGACTTCAGATAATATAAAAATGCTTTTTGCTTATCGATTTCAATGCCGATTCCTAAATAATAACAATAACCAACTTGGTATATTCCGTTAGAATTCCTCATGTTTGCTGATTTTTTTTAATGCATGAAAAAATTTCAAACTACTTCATCCTTCTCTACGCCAATTCCATATTCGTAACAAATGGCAGTTTTCTGAATTTCATTGGAACTACCAGCCTCAGCAGACTTCAGATAATTTGTAAATGCTTATACTTAGCCATTAATACTTTATGAAAACACTTTTTTGCTTATTGATTTCAACGCCGATTCCTAAATAATAACAATAACCAACTTGGTATATTCCGTTAGAATTCCTTATGTTTGCTGATTTTTTTTAATGCGTGAAAAAAATTTCAAACCTACTTCATCCTTCCCCACGCCAATTCCATATTCGTAACAAATAGCAGTTTTCCGAATTCCATTGGAACTACCAGCCTCAGCAGACTTCAGATAATTTGAAAACGCTTTATACTTAGTCATTAATGCTTTATGAAAACGCTTCTTGCTTATCAATTTCAACTCCAATTCCTCAATAACCAACTTGATATATTCTGTTAGAATTTCTCATGTCTGCTGATTTTTGGTAATGTGTGAAAAAAATTTCAAACCTATATTAGCCATTAATGCTTTAAAAAAAAAATTTTTTTTAACATTACAGAAAGTAAATCTTTAAGTACATACCGTTAAATGCTTTTACTTAATAGTTCTTATGCCTTCCTTTTATAGATCGTTCAGATCTCTCTTGTAATCGCCTAAGGCAGCTTGATTACAAGTTTTTAAGAACGGATTAGCTATTGAAGTAACGCTTTCAAGAAAAAAACTCTAAAAAAAAAGTACTTCCCGGGCCTACTTAGCTATATACTATTAGGCAGTGTTGTATACGGACGATGTCTCACGTCCGTGATGGTGTCCTATATCACAAAGTTTATCAAGCGTTCTCATTGGCTAAAAAGGACACTCTTATTATAATATTTAATTGTCCGGGATGTTAACATTTTGGCGGACATGTCCGGGACGTCCCGTCCCAGATTGTCCGTTGTCCGTGTCCCTGTCCCATGACAACACTGCTATTAGGCTAATAGTAAAAATGTGGCATTAGTAGAAGTCGCCCAGGAATCTAATTATATCTGATTAAATTCGCCAGCCGCTAGTAAGGCCAAAGAACAATATATGCTGAAAGTTATTTGCTCATAAGTGACATATATAAATAATTGTGTAATGATCGACATTACAGTTGTACCACATCAGCCAATCAAACCGACTTTCTACCATGCTGGTTTTCCCAGAAAAGGTAATTTCTGTTTTTTCTGCTGACCCAACTTTGTCTGGTTTTTTTTGTGCTACATCTTTTACATCTTTTATCTGAAAACCTTTGATCGAGTTTATACAATGTTTATCTAAAAAATAAACATTGATCGTCTAGTAAGCGAAATAAATTGTTAATCTTAGTGTTCTCTATTATGACAACGTCGAATAAGGAATTAGACCCTGTTGCTTCGAGTGACACATCGGCTCAACTTGACATGACTCAAGCAAGTTTTGAATCGTGTCTGGAGTAATTATCATTGGAGGCATTGAGGTTTGTCTATAGAGGAATGGGTATAATGGATTCGGGCCAAAAGAAGGAGGTTGTGGTCAGGTTGCTAAAGGAAGGAAGAGCCCAGAAAGGCCTGTTGATGAATTAGAATCTTCTGGAAAAGGGAAGGATGTTAAATCGCTGTTTTTGGGAATTCAGAGCGAGAGTTTCTTAGAGAAGCTTGACGCTTTTAGATGGCTAGTGATAGATTACAGCAATTAAAAACAGAGGTCAAAACTCCTCTCGACCTTATGGAAAACAGGCTATGCCTAGTGCGAGCTCCAAGTAGGAGCACAGAGTTGGGTGCTTTAACTCTGGAGAATGTAGACATAGAAGTGTGTGAGTTGTCAAAACAGCACAACCAATGAGAATATAATGAATGGTGCAAAGTAGGGAGTTTACTAGATAGGGCCTTTGTATCCAGAGATATAATGTTTGATTAGTAAAACAAGTGACAATAGAAAGGGCTTATGTTGTGAGAATGGCTGATGAAGATGGCTGGGTGTTGTTCTAAAATAGCGATGGCTGATACTTCAGATCCAATGTCTGAGCTTTTAGAGAATAAGCATGAAAGAGCTAGATTAGCGGTACAATGTTTTAACCGTTCAGATGAATCTACAGTTCTTGCATGGTGCAAATGCTGGTTTGTCATCTTCAGTTCAGCAATAGCTATACTATTTATCATCTTATATTTTGAAAAAGGGTAATAAAAACAAGTGATTCAAAAAAAGAGAAATAGTTTGCTACTTGTGTAAAGAAAGAACATTTTACTAATAAGAAAGCATGTCCAAAATTTCCTGGATCTGCAATCTGTGTAACATCCGAATACCAAAGATCCTATTAATAAATTCGGAAGTTTTTTAAAACTTCTAACGATGATTTCTCAATAACTACGTGATTTAATTCAGTAAAATTTTATTATTTTAATTTTATAATATTGTAGAATTAAAATAAAAAAAAGGTTCATTATATTTAGTTTAGTAGTTTTCGATAAATCAACGCGAAAAGTTTACAAAAAAAAACTAAAAGTCTGAAAAAAACAAATCGGTAAAATTTTTCTTACTTTGAACTTTAAACGACAATTTCTCGACAAACAAATATCTAAATTTGATAAAATTTTTTATTTTAATTCTGTAGGCTTATAGAATTAAAATAAAAAATTTTTGATCGAATTTGAATAGTTGGTTATCGAAAAATATTCATTAAAGTTTGACCGCAGCTTCTTTTTTAAAACTTTGAAGATTACTCGGCACTTACCTAGTCAAATTCGATTAATTTTTTTTTATTTTAATTCTATGAGCATATAGAATTAAAATAAAAAAATATGATCGAAATTGACCAGGTAAGTGCCAAGTAGTCTTCGTTCAAAGTTTAGGCGCCTATAAAAAAAAAAGCTGCGGCCAAACTTTTTGAATTTTTCTCGACAACCAGCTATTCGAATTCGATTAAAATTTTTTTAGTTTTTTTGTAAACTTTTCGCTTTGATTTATCGAAAACTACTAAACTAAATATAATTAACCTTTTTTATTTTAATTCTACAATATTATAAAATTAAAATAATAAAATTTTATTGAATTAAATCAAGTAGTTATTGCGAGTTTATTAATAGGATCTTCAATTCGGATTGACTACATCCTGATGTTGATTAGAGCGCCGCGAAGTATGTATATCAAATTTAAGAGTTTAGAATAATCAAATATGGCGTGCGAAGTATATTAAATTTAAAAGTTTAGAGAATAATCAAATATGGCGTGCGAAGTATATAAATTTAAAAGTTTAGAAAATAATCAAAAATGCATAAAATGACCACTTAATAAAATTTATACAGTCAACCTCAAAAATCAGTATGTATGGTGGACAGGTTTTATATTGGTTTTGATTGGATTTGAGAAGGATTACGTGATTGGTAATTATAAACGGACCAATCAAATTGCAGAAATTTTATATTGAACCCGGATTGGGTTTATTTGAAGCCAGGTTGAGTTCAGACGAACCCAGAATGAGCTC